AAAAAAAAAAAAAAAAAACACACACACACACACACACACACACACACACACGACACACACATAGACATACAAACACCATCACGAGAATAGTCAGGATAGCTTTCTAGGATCTCAAAATGTCAACATCCGTTGAAAATTCGATTTTCGAAAAACGGGGTGAAAGCAATAACTTCCCAACTTTTGAAATTTTTCAATTTTCTTAGCGGGAAGTTAAAAAAGTCACATTCTAGTGTACCGACCGATGACTTTGAGTAAATTTTAAACTTAGTTACTATTGAGTGGCGCTAATTATTTCTCTACGGTCAGTTTATTACGAAGTGAACTTTATGATAATAAAATAATAACCACGCCATTTTATCAACAATAAATACACGATACAAGTGAATAATAAATATTAATCATTCTCTCAACATAAATAAATATTAATAAAAAGAGAATTATTATGATATTAAGTTTTTTCGCCTCATATCCCTCAAAACTTTTGAGTCAAAAGTTAAATTTATGGAGTGATAATGACAAAAAATACACCACTCATCTATTGTCAATGAATAAGCTTGGCAATTAGCGTCGCTATAGAAGTTATTAATGTCATTATTAAAAAATATTTTTCCCAGAAAATAAATGTATCATCACTAAAAATAGATGGTATATTTTCACATCAAAATTGAATTAAAAGCCAAATCACAGTTTAGATTGAGACCAAAATTTAATAAAATAAATTTTTAGCATAGGACGTTTTGAATAATAATGCTACTAATTGGAGTGATAAATATGATTCAATGAATTTAATTGTGGCTTACGAATCTCCATTGAGATATAGTCACGCTTCGAACCATATGCAACCACGAATACGTACATGTTCACCGCAGCATGTACGACAAATCCACATCATCATTCTCCGCGCATTGATATTATTTATATACTACACCCACTGAGCACCGTGTAATTTTATTATTCTCTTAGTTTTGATATTCATACATAAACAAAAATGTTGAGAATCTAAAAAGCTATATTTCAAGTGATTATTTGACAGTGAAAAATTAATAACGGCTGATAGGTAAAAAACATTAATAATTATCAGTTTTTTCATTATTTTATTTTTTGACATTCGTTATCTGCATGTTCTTCTGAATCGCACATTATAAATTAAAGATATCATTTTTTATACTGTACTCAATTTACTCTGATATTATTATAGAAATTAGCTGGGTAGAGATAGGTAAAGACTACAAAGGCAGAATAAACATATGGTTGTTTTACTTTGAATGGATAATTTGAAATTTTTGTTAATTATCATAAAGTAAAACAATTTTAGACGGTATTAATTGCTAGAAAGGTTTTGTTTTCTTTTATAAAAAATGTAAATTCAACAGTACAAAAGTAGGTCGACGAAGGACATTTTATTCAAATCCCTGTTTCTGCAATGTTTCATTAAAGCAATCAGCTTTGCAGATTTTCATATAAAAATAATTTTTTTTCTAATTTTGTTCGTCTCTATTACAGTCATATTACATTTTCAAGACAGTAACAGGACATAAATATTATGAAAACACAAAGAATAAATAAATACGATGATATAAAAAACAATTCGTTCTCTTTGTTTTAAAAAAAATATATTTTTTAAAAAAGTTACAATGCAGTTCTACATTGATTGATATTTTTTTATTTGAAAACGTAATAAATAAACAAAAACACTTGAACTTTGAAAAAACTCTTTCAGTGCAATTTTTCTGAGTGTTTTTTTAATCAAGTTTTAATTTATTTTTCAATCTTAAAAAATTATTTATCTACTCAATTAGTCCTTATTCATTTTTACTATAAAAATTCCTCATTACTATATATGGTAATTGAATATATCTGCATCAATTTATAAACTAAAATTTTCTGTGGAAAAAAAAATTCCATTAAGCATTCGTTTTTCGTTTTAATAACATTTAAATCATGGTTCTTGATAAATTTAACTGACTTTTTTGCACCATTTATTTTTATGGTTTTCTACCTATTAATCAATTTTTAATTTAAATTATATGAATGAATTTATATAATAGTCATCTGTAAATAAATGATAAAAAAAATAAATAAATATTGATTTTCTAAGCGGAAAGTTAAAAAAACGAAAAATAAAAAAATTTGACGTGTTAATGCTAGAAAAATGAGGTTGACGTAATAGATAAAAATTGATTTGTATAACAAGATCAAAATGAAATAAAAATTAAAGAAAAGTTATAATAATTAATTGTTTCGTACTTAGCACCTGCTAATTGCTCAAAATAAAATAACTTTCATTATTTCAATTTTTCTTAGATTTTTTCAACTACCTATTCCCCCCCCCCCCCCTTCCCCCAACCCACCACCAGGGCCATATCCCTAGATCCCAACGTTTGTTCCGGAATTGATCGCTGCATTTGTAATAAAAAATAGTATCTGCTCGTACGGTGTTGTTAATTGACCATGAAAGCGAAATTGAGTGCACAAAGTGAGTTTCAAGAGTGACTATTTTGTGTATAGGAATAATAGAAGATGGATCATCTACGTATTTATGTACAGTCGTATCTTTATTTTTGCTGATTGGAAACAGTAGTGACGAGTTTTTTTGTGAGAAATTTAACGTAAAATATTTTATCGACAGTAAAACACAACCGGTAGCGTTCACGCTAACGGCGTACAGAATAGGATGTATATCATTTAGTCTGTAAGTACATGACATGCTTGTAAACACTCTAATCGCCAAAATATTTGGTCTATTGACTCTACTCTTTTTTATTAGCTTTATAATCACCGTTAGTTGTGCCGTATTCAAAATGGTGGTCTAATTGACTGTGGTTTATTTATAATCGATAAATAAAAAAATCTGGAAAACGGTTGACCCTAAAGGTCATACCTGCAACTTCCCGCTAATTCCATATCTAAGCGCTTAAAATTGCACTTATGATGTTTTTGAGCTCTTCGAGCTCAAAAATAGAATTTTTGTGTTATTTCGAGCTCTCCGAGCTCGAAGAGTTAGCTGTACTAAGCTTTTGAGCTCTTCGAGCACACGGTTGACGGTAGTCCACGTAGTTTTTCAAATTCTATGATACACTATCGAACACAAACTGATCAAACCAAAAATTTTAGAGAAATTTGAAAAATTCACTTTTTCCGAATTTTGTCGACAACGATTACTCACGAACCAATCAACCGATTTTCACGTTCTTGGTGGCGATCGACGTGGATTTTCGGGCTCTAATAATTATTTTATTTCATTAAAAACGATCCAAAAAGAAATGTCGAAGTTATGTGAAAAAAACACTTTTTTCGAAATTTTTCGTTTTTGATAACTGTCGAACGAATCAACCTATTTCGACGGGACTGGTGGCAATCGACGTGGTTTTTCAAACTTAAGAGCGGATAAGTTTTCGAAATTGATCGGTCGAGCCGTTTAGAAGTTATTAAAAAAAAAAAAACGATTTTTTGAAAATTTGATTTTTGAGATTTCTCAAAATCTAGCGAACCGAATCGATTAAAATTTTTACGAAATTTAATGGCAATGATACTTTTAGAATCGCCACCTATTTCGATCTGATCGGTCGAGCCGTTCAAAAGTTATAAGAGGTTTACATACATACACACATACACACACACATACATACAGCCGCCCGGACACCATCACGAGAATAGTCAGGGAAGCTTCCTGTGACCTTGAAACGTCGAGATCTGTTAAAAACTCGATTTTCGCAAAACGGGGTAAAACCAATAACGTCCCGATTTTTGAAAATTTTCAATTTTCTTAGCGGGAAGTTAAAAATTCGGCTAGTCCTTCATACACCTGGATTGAATGTAAAAAGAATTTTAGTCTTAAGTTGCAGCGCATGCATCTTAGTTTTCTCATTTGAGCGAAAATGCCGCGAAACATTTTAAATTATAATTGTCATAATTCGTTTACTTTTTTCATAACATGAATACTTACACTCCCATCTTTGTCTATTTATAATTTACTGTCTTAGTTATCATAAATAAGTTTTTCTCCTTTTTATTTCACTTTGAGGATTAGCAAAACAATTTATGTTTCATTAAAAATTAAATTAGTGTCACGATGCGTATAGTTTGGATTTTCTGAGCTTTTTGAAATTTTGAGCTAGTGTTGACTCAATAACTTTTGATGGATACAACTTTATTGCTCATATGACAGCAGATTCGGTTTTTTTACAATTGCACCTTAACTCTAGACTAGTGACGTCACTTAAATTATCAGAACCGCTCTATTGACTTCTATGTATCGATAATAACTGTTGTTTAAATAAGAGAAAATAATTTGTTCGTATTCATTACTCATCCAGAATAAATTTTTCTCCAACGAGGTAATTTTTATGAATTTCATAACTTTTTACCAATTTTTCTGTAAGAAATTTCACTGTAAGAAATTTAAAGTATATTCAAAGTTAATCATCAATTTCATCACACGTACACAGTGAGAAATTTCTATTATTTTTTATTCTGCATGGATTTTAAATTTTACAATGGTGCATATTACTAGTGAACCTTATTGACTCAGAATAAAATTTTACAATGGCCCATAGTAATTTCCGAAACAAATGAAATCAGACATAGCAAACGGTAGAAATTGAAATGTACCATAGTAAAATGAAATATGCAATAATTTAAATTTCCGAATGTACTATAGCAAAAAAAATAAGAAAATGTTTGTAAAAAATAAAAAATTTTAGAGTAAAAAATATTTTTAGCAATCAAAAAAAATATCAAACCAAACAAGATGTTTTTTGTTTGTAATAATTTTTAAAAAAATTTTTTTAAAATATAGTTTTTTTTATTTGTTTTCTATTTTTAATTTGAACGAAGGATTTATTTTGGCAGTTAATTATATTATAAATAATTATAAACACAATATATAACTTTTAAATTATTTTTCATTATAATAATAATATATTATTAGAAAAGTGTCGGTTGCAGGTTAACCATCAAATGTTTGTTTTCATCTTAATCTTTCACGGTAAATTATTAAATATTTTATTATTTAGGAATCTTACAAATTTTTATTAACTATTCATATGTTAATTGCAATAAACATTGTTTTAAATAAATATTAGTTTATAAATCCATCAACATATGAATAATTAATAAAAATTTGTAAGATTCCCAAATAATAAAATATTTAATAATTTACCGAGAAAAATTAAGATTAAAACAAAATATAGTTTTTTTTTATTTGTTTTCTATTTTTTTTAATTTGAACGTAGGATTTATTTTGGCAGTTAATTTTATTATAAATAATTATAAACACAATGTATAACTTTTAAATTATTTTTTATTATAATAATAATATATTATTAGAAAAGTGTCGGTTGCAGGTTAACCATCGAATGTTTGTTTTCATCTTAATTTTTCACGTTAAATTGTTAAATATTTTATTATTTAGGAATCTTACAACAAAGCAGCACGAAAAAATGAAAGAGCGTGCGTCGCGACTGACGCGCATACGTTTACTATGGGACATTTGAAAATTTCATAGTCACAATTTTAAGTTTAAACCAAGTACACGTGACTAAATGTCAAATTTTTTTATAAATTTTTATTGTCGACTGAACAACAGAAATTTTACTATGGAACTATAATGAAAAGTTTTAAGCACACTCACAGTTTTTGTTCAGTCAGTTTACGAAAATTTTTTATATATGTTTATGTAACAGTTACATGGTCAAATTTACTATGGTCCCTAGTAAATATTAATTGGTACAATATGATATTCTTAAATTTTTATGGTAATATTTTCAATTGAGTCATTAAGGTTCAGTCTTATTATGTATGCATAGTAAATTTCTACAGAAATTTCTCACCGTGTAGTACCGGAGTAAAAAAAAAGATCACCGCGTACGGATTAAATCTTGAATTTTTTACGTGCATTTTTAGATGTGTAAACTTAAAAAAATCGAAATTTTTTATCATTCAATACTTGTTTTTAAATTAAACAAAAACTTATAACAATAGTTTTGACTAAGTGTCTTGATCTTTAAAAGGATAATTTGTTTTTTAGATTCATCTTCCTCTTTTATCCTCAATGATATAACTTTGCTACATTTATCGTAGAAAAAAGTATGTTAAATTGTCAATAGTGAATGAAAGCGTCAAATCATTATTTCGAATAAAAAGATTTGTGTCATTATGAAGTTGGGGTGTATATAAAAAAGTAAATGACATATTTTCAAGACAGCTAAGAAGTCATCATAGGAATATACGTCAAGTCTTTAATCATGTCCTAAGTATTGTCGGGTAGTGTGGGAAAACTGTCACATTTATTATTCAACTATAAGTGCATACAAGTATGTAAAATCTTTCTTATATGCGTATATACATATGAAATACATGTTCATGAAGATTACTATTTCGATAATATGAAAGTCACGCTCTAGAAATCACGAATCTGCTACCATAATTATTGTAGAATAGTGTTTTTGTATACATTATCACAAGGATTTTGTTTATTTGAAGGTCTCGCAGTAATTTTTTATTATCACGCCCAACCGATCTTGAATCTTATTCGACAAGTTAAACGATTCATGACACGAGCGCTAAAGTCAAAAGTTTAAATTCATTTTTCTCATTCAAATAACTCCTTATAATATTAAATTTATTTGCAATAAAATATTTATTAACCATTTTTAAGTATTTTAAAACCAGTTTTATTTTCGGTTGTTTATTTTCCTATTATATTTATAGACACCGATGTATAGCGTGACGAAAGAATATTATTAATTCAATTTATCTAGCAAATAGAAAACATACAACTGCTATAAAATATGAATTGAAGAAGTTAAAAATATTCTATATCGAACAGTTAACTGTGAATACATAACACGGTTATTTACACAGAGTCTGTGTTAAAATCTAGTTAAATAAGGGCATATATACGCACATTGTGCCCGTAAAGTTTTGCATATTTCAAAAGACATCCTCATACGTACCCTGAGATTCAATCGATATTTATTGATTGCATGGTCGAAAAAGGTTAAGGGTGGTTATTATCAAGTTTGCTATCGTGGCTTGTACTTTTTGCTTTTTTTTTTTATCAATCTTGAGGTTAATAATGCAATTGTAAAACTGATAGTGTTACATTTATATTGTTGATAGCTTGGAATAAATCGATCAACATGATAAAATTCATTCGGGTCTTTTAAATTATTTTAAATTTTAGTGATAAAAATTTATAAATTTTCGAGAGTACGGCACCGCTGCCCATACAAAAAAAAATTTTTTAAATAGAACCCTTAAAAAAATCTACTCTTCTTTCGTTCACGTTAATTGTATTAGGTTGCAGCCATTTTTCCGACTTTGTTTATACATTTTTGATAATAATGAGAAAATGCCTCGTTTTATACGGAAAGAAAGTTCAAGAAATTTTTTCAATTTTTCTATCGTAATCTATCTTATATAGAATTGTAGAGGTGGACTATAATTTCCAAATAATGATTTTTACGGTACACTATCGTTAATTTTATTTAATAAATAATACTTGCAAGAGACTTAAAACGACTAATACTATAAAGCAAATTATACAAGATGTAGGAGTGAACTTTACAATTCAACGATCGTAAAAATTGACAGTCAGTCTTTTTAAAAGGAATTTTACGGAGGGAGAAGGTAAGAGATTGAACTGATTGGTAACTTTGCAGTAGCCGAAAAATAAATCAGAATTTTCGTCCGGGAATCGAACCCAGAACTCTTAGTTGGTAGCCAGAGATTCTTCCTCTACTCTATCCGAGGTATACTGCTATTGATACTATTGATAACTTGAAGTCTAGCGCTGTGTACGGCCAATACTCACACTAATTTGTTTCTCCTATTGGAAAGATACAGAGGCAGCACTAAATATTTTCGTCTAAAATATTTGAAAGTTACCGATAATACAAGTATAGTCCAACATTATAAAAGGTGCATTAGAAATTTGCGTAGGATTTTTTTGCCGTGTGCCTAAAAAATTCGACTAAACAATTTATAAGAAATCCAGTTTTCTACGAAATTAATACTCATATTTATATCGCTAAAATGGTTAGTTCCAAAAATATAAGCAGTGTGATATTATAAAATACGGAAAAATTATATTTTATCTAGCTTAATACATCTCAGTATTAACGGAATTTCTCTTTAATAACTTTTCATGGCATGAATTTTCATTTGTGTTAACAATTTCACTGTATATAAGCTGCAATATAAGAAATACGCAAAAAAGAAGAGCAAATCGAAGCACAAGGACAAATTAGATACTTTAAAAATTTAATAAAAACATTTTTTTAACTCACCGCTAAGAAAATTGAAAATTTTCGAAAATCGGGAAGTTATTGGTTTTACCCCGTTTTTCGAGAATCGAGTTTTCATCAGATCTCGACGTTTTGAGGTCCTAGAAAGATTCCCTGACTATTCCCGCGAGGGTGTCTCTATGTCTGTGTGTGTGTGTGTGTGTGTGTGTGTGTGTGTGTGTGTGTGTGTGTGTGTGTGTGTGTGTGTGTGTGTGTGTGTGTGTGTGTGTGTGTGTGTGTGTAAACCTATCATAATTTAATCGCAGTTGGTGCCATTCGAAAGGGTTCGATTAAACTTAGATTTTGAATACACGTTGGACCGATAGATTTTGAGAAATCTCTGAAATTTTATCGGATTCGTCCAATATAACAAAGTTAAAAGAGTTATAAAAATTTGACATTTACTGATTTTGAGATAAATCAGACGATTTGTATAATATAAAAATTAGAATCTGGAATTTAAAAATTTTTTGATCTAAGAATTACAAAGTTTAAAACTTATAACTTTCCGATGAATAAATTGGTTAATTATATTTAAAAGTATAAAAAATTGTCAGTAGTTTTGAATAATTTTCTTTCCGAAAATCCTCTTGTTAAAACTCGACGTTTGAGCGAACGAGATCTGGTTCATCGCTTATATTATAAAGAACTTAGAAATAGTCTTGAAAGACGAAAAAATTTATAGCTAATCCACGATAGTCTGAATTACCCTCCCTTATTTTTTTGGAGAATTTTGAAGCTTACGAACGAATTGATTGCAAAATATGATCGCTTTCACAGGTCAGAAAAATATGTATCTATTCTTGTAATGTAAGCCAAACCAGTTGATTCGATCTATCGTCAACTACATTTATTTAAAAATCGCAAATGTCATTATTTTTTTAAGATCAATTAAATTATAAATTATGATCATTTATAATATCTTTCACTCTAATTCTGTATTTGCTTGAAAAGCAGACAATTTAAAATTTATCTTAACCATCAAGATTTTTTTTCGCGTGACTCGTTGTCAATAAAACAAACAAAATGAAAAATAAATTAATTCAATCTTCTTACCTTGAGCATTCAGTCGCTGGAACTTGACAAAAAATAGGCCAGTTCCTATCGAACTTTTAATCAGCTTTAGTCATTGTTCTTATCACAAAATTAGTTAAAAATCCCTCCACTGAATAATTATCACTATTTTATTTTCTAAACATCAATATAAAATTTTTTATTCAATTTAACAAGAAAAACAACCACTTGTACACGTGTAAAAAATATTCGACCCTGTTGATTTTCAGTGATTGCCCGCTAATCTATTGTCCACTCTCCAATCATTGCCTACTTGTTGACTAACACCACATTTAATGATAAAAAAAATTAATAATAGTAACTAATTTATTCAAAATAAAAACGCTGGAAGTTTGACTCAGAAATAAAGTTTTGTTTTTTTTATTTTTTTGTTATTAGGAAGACTAATCATTGGAAATGTGTCTTAGTGTTACGGCGACAGAAAAATACAAAGCGTAAATAAAAGACGTAGCATCTACTAAAAAAAATAAATAGAAAAAAAACAATTTAATTATAGTTAATATTCATATTCAATTATATACTTTTGAATTGAAGCTCACTGAATAAAGCGCCGTGATGCAACAGACACGCGACGTGAATTGAAAGTGGGCACCGGACAAGAAAGCGTTCATGAAGCGCGTCGTTCGTTTGTTTCGGCGCATGCGTACTTGTCAAAACGCCGACAACGACTATGACGACACGTTTTTCTCACACCCCCTGTATTACTGTGCGATTGAAGCAACCACCGGTATAAAGATTATGGATGCTCGGTGTACTCTCTTCTTCATAACGTTATTATACTGATTTATTCGCTTCACTTTTTTCTTCCGATTATACTATAGACAAGAGGAAAAAATTTTTCGTCCGATTTAATTTCACCTATTTTACTATCAATCTGTATTTGCTGGTAGTAAATAACGATCGAGTTGAGTAAATTTAATGGAAAATTTTTTTTAAACTCCTGTGATGATAATTACTAACGCTAAGAATTTATTATTTTTATACATGAAAATTGAGTATTAATTTAATTTAATTAACAAACCGTGTTTGACATAGGGTAAATACCCCAATAGATGGACACCCCCCAATAGATGGACAGATATAATTTCTAGAAGCAATTACATTAGTTTTAAGAAAAAAAATCTTAAGTCATTATATTTTTTTGTGTCTTCAAATAGTTCTGAGAGCGAGAAGTAATTTATTTTTAACTTTTTATTTGTAATAGTAGTTTAAAAAAATTATTTAAATTGGATGTCTCGAGGTTTTGCTCCACACTGAAGAGAAAAATATTAAAGTTTTGTTTTGAATTATTTGAAGTTAGCATCACTTGAATAAAAAACTTGTTTTCGGGTAAAGCGGGTAGGGCAAACCGGGTTGCAGAGCTGATACCCGCTTTGCTCTGATATTGTTTTATACTTATTTTTTTGAGTGGGGAGTCAATATAAGAGCAAAACGGAGCAAGCAACCTGGACGGCAACGACATTTTTTAATATTTTTAATTTTTGACTTCATAATTTGTCATTTTAAAAAAATTTATTAACAAGTTACCGATTTAATAGTCATTTATATTGAAGTATTGCTATATTTAATAAGTTAATTTTTTAAATTGTTGAAGACTGATTCAATTAAACTAAAATTATTATTTAATTATCTAAAATAAGTATTTTTCCCTTAATTGTAGTGCCAACCCGTTTTGCCCGAACGGATTACCCGCTTTAGG